ACAAAAAGGCGGATGGTCGAAAAATCCCAAAAGACTCGGAGAAAAGCAATGAACTAATTTTTTTTTATAAGTATTTTGAGTTTTTGATGGAGACAATTTAATGTTGTATTTTTACAATCATAAATATTACAAAATAAAAAAATATAGACGATTAATAACTAAAAAACACAGGTTGGAATGGAATAAACTTTAATTTTTAAAATATGTTTCGGTATCCCTAGAATTTTTATTGTCAATAGTTTTTTTGGAACTATTATTGTTTCCCCAGCAACTCTTCAAGCAATTGTTTTCGATTTAAGAAAAAAATTACTTTTATTTATATTCATTACAATCCTGTATAACACATTGAAGACAAATCACAACTCTAATCTTAAGTCCAATTAACGTTTATTTTTCATTTAAAGGAACTTTTTTTAAAAATATCAAACATAAATAAATATATAAATATGAGTACAACATTTACCATAATCCTGGAATATTATTTCAAAAACGTTCCTGAGAACTTTTATTTTATTATTTTCATAAAAAGTTCCACAGAAACTGTTATAATGAAACTTTTTAAAAATAAGTTCCGTAAAATTTTAAACCACTGGTTAAAACGAATAAAACCAAAAATTAAACAATAAAAATAAAGGATTTAATTTCCCATCCGGTAGATACCCTGTTGACATTTGGGAGGGTTGGTAAGAAGCTACCGTCATCTTGAAGCATGCATAAATTACTAAGTATTTCCTCTATTTAACTGATATATAACTGAATGGATATTAAAAAAAATGCAGTTAATAACGTAGTAGAGAAAATATTATCGATTATAATTAACATAGATGAATATAATGGCTAAGAAAAGATTCTTAATCTACCTCGTCTACACTGAATATTGTCCAGACTGCTGGTACTTAAAAACGCTATCAAGTCCATAAGCGCTCAAGTTCAATTTTCAGCTCCCCCATAACCGTTAATCGTATAACGGATTCATAGGCACATTACTGGAATTGATACATTACTGGCCCATTGTTACTAGAAATAGATCAGTTCAGCACCAACTAAAGGCGTAAGAAGCTAACGGATCGAGGGTCCTAATGCTAGACTTAACGGTGTTCCTTGGAAGCCGATGTGGCCTGGACTTGATTAGATAAACTAATTAACCAAATAATTTTCACGACGGTAAAAAAAAAACTCTTTGAAGTAGGCAATAGCTTTCTAGACTGAAAATAACCAAGTAAGAGGCTCGAGTTACTGCCGCTTTAAGGGGCAATAAAAAGATAGTACCGTTGTAACAGAGTGAAAGGTCCTGCAATGCACGGCCCACCGTTACTTCTACTTCAAGGTTAGGCCCTCAAGTACAATCATGTCCGGGGGGCATCTACAATGGATTTCTTCAATCCACGATGGTTATTGAGTGGTACAATGTCCAAATAGATCTTGATTAGGTAGCTCAAAACAATGTTGTGACATGAATTAACTATTCAGGGGCAAGAGAACGCCATCCTAACGACTATTACAGGGAGGAAAGAAGTAATTATTGAGCATACAGAACATATATTTAATCTGGGAACAATCTTTCATTGTTTGGAAAGAAAACTTTAACAACAAAAAATAATCTCACCAATGAGGCACTGGTAAGATTAATTAGTAAATATAAAACTTGAATTAATACGAGATTATGGAAATATGCTATGCGGATGTGTGTAACGAAAGATTATAGCCTTCATCAATCAATAGTCTTCAACTAAATCTAAAAGAAGATATGTTTTGTTCTCTCGTGAAAGAAAAATGTTTTAAAGAACTCTGCTGAAGGAAAAAACTGAAATCTAGTAAAAGAGATTTGAGTTGTATGATGAAGAAAAAGTCAACTTCTCTAATGCATATTATAATTTATTTATCACATACAAAATAACATTTGATTTGATATAAAATTTCTAATATGTGACTTGCTGCTTTGTAATAAGCAGTTTGTTGACAGCTTGTGCACTGGCATGGGATACAATGGGATACACATGGGATAATGGGATACAAATTAGATCAGATAATCTTCGAAGTCGTCGAGGTGGGCTTTAAGAGTTTCTTGCACGTTTGTGGATTCGTGTTACAAGTCAGTCTTGGATGAAAGTAATTCTAATTTTCAATTGTTGTTTATAAAATTATTCGGATGTATAACACAAGTTGAAGAAACAAAACCATGAGGGTCTTTTACTGATACGAAACAGGAAGTTTCCTCTTAAAACCTAAACGTTACAATATAAATGGTCACTGTGAGATGCTTTATGAAGAGGTTTTATATCTGTATCTCAATTTTTTTTTTTTTTTAGGACGATTGCGAAAATTGAACTTCAAACTCTTGCCAATTTCCATGTAAAACGTTTAATAAAGCAGTGATGTACACAGTATCAAAGTAAGTAATGATTTCACTTGATCCTTTAATTAATCAGGTGCTCCAAAAAAAAAAAAGATAGTATGTTTAAATATACTTATAATCTAGCTGCCTGCAGCAACGGGCATCGCCTGTTTTACACAATGTGTAAAACATGCTAATAATGCTCGCTAGAGCCCACAGCTCCAAAAATTGTAATATTAAAATTCATACAGACAAATTCTTTATTTATATTACACATTATTGAAAACCACTAAGTATTCAAAAGTAATTAAAAAACTATGAAACTTGAATAGGATCGGTTTTTAAAAGAATGAAACTTCTAAGCCTGTCTTTTCTCAAAAATAAGGTTGATAGAGGATCGGTTTGGAAAGAAAAAATGGTGGATATTTTGTGGAGAAAACAAGTTTTAACAATTATATTAAAAAAATTAACTATTTGTTTAAAATAACGGTGCATAAATACAATTTTTTTTTAAAAAACAAAAAAAAGGTAAAAAACGATTTTGATGATTTTTTTTTTAAAGAATACTTAAGAAATGCCGGTTATCTTGAAACAAAAAAGCCCGGTTTCGTTTCAGGTTCATTTTTGAAAAAAATAAATAAATAATCACACCATCGGGTTTTTGGGTGTTTTTAAATGGGAATCGATACTTCACTCAATTTACAATAAAAATCGATTAGGGTTAACTTTGAAAATAAGCGACTTGGTCAATGTTTATAAAATATAAAATTAATAAAAGAAAAAAGCAAATTATTTCATATATCTGCGAGTTGAAAAACAAAATAAAATTATTCAAATGAAATCATAAGCCTGATATGGCACCTAGAGGCCAGGCATTTCCCAACTGTCTTAATAACGCAGTCTCGATTGGCTCAAGTACATATAAGTATAATAAGCGCGCAGGCAATGCGCATGCAAATCAGCTCCACCATTTCTCAGTATCTCCTCCAAGAGAGAACTGCATATTCAATGGCGGAGGTAGATTTAAATACTTCGAAGAATTATTCAGAGAACTTAGCTTCAGAATGGTAAATTATAATATTTAAAATTGAGTATATACATGTATACATATGAGTATGTGTGTGAGTATAATATAGTGAGATCAGCAGGGTCAAGAGTATATTTAGCCGAAACCACTTTCCCCAACGGGCGGCCTTGCCCCCTCCCCACCATCGCGTTGCCTGCATTCATATCTCCTACTGTCATTCCTTAGCCTTCGGAACATCCAAGGCGTTTCAAAACAGATTTTAGAAGAAAAAAAAAACTTATGGTCCAAATAACTTTTTATCAATATAAAACCTACAATAAATAAAAATATTAAAACGAGAAAATCAGCAACGAAATTACAGAAGTTAGCTTGTATTTTAATTCACACGTTACAGGTTGAATAACCTTAAGAAGCTACTGAACTTAATAGGTAGATGTGGTTACAGACCTCAGCCAATGTTTAACATGTTTCTCAAGTTCGACAAACTTGAATGGTTTAGCATACTTGTCACTGGTTGCTTGATAACCCTAAACTTCTAAAAAATAGAAGAGGAAAAAATGAAAAAATATTGTTTGTACGATTTCAATAAAACCCTTGTACAACTTTCGACTTATAGGCCTGCAATATAGTACTATATGTTTAAAACATGTTATAATTAAATTTAAAAAAATAGAAATCATTGATAAAAAAAATAGGCTATAGAAATAAGTAGAAAAAAAGTATTCATTTCAGTTATTGGTTCCGAACTACTCCGTCATGCAGCTCTTCGGTAAAAGTCGGCAAACGTTACACGTTAGTAGTAATAAAAACCTTAAAAATGACTGCGTCCTGCCTATTGATTGGTTGGTTGTTTTTTAGTAAAGGGATAAAACCTGCTGTTTATCAACGCCGTTAATTAAGATTATATATAATTATATCACCTGGTTGTGAATAATAGAATTAAATTAAATTAAAAAGACGTAAAATACAAGTTAAGTTTAAAGTTATTAAAGTTTAGTTATTTAAAGTTAGAACGTTAAGTAAATAAAGAAGAGAGAGGTGCGTGAGTGGGGGAGGTGAAGAGGAGAGCTGCTTGAGAGGTTCAGAGATTTTTAAAGATTCCTTCTTCAGAGAGAAAACATAGGATCGTACTCAAGATTTTTTAATCCTTTCCCAAATCAATTGTTCTATTTGATGGTATTCCTCTTTTGTTTAATTTTCTGATGTAAAAGGCATAACTCTCAAAGATATGGACTACTGTCATTCTCTCTCCTTTTTTTCCTTTTTTAAGTAATTAAGCGTCCTGACTATTTATCACCTATGATATCTAGAACAGTTGACTAATTTCCTTCAGTAGCTCTTTTTCATGATAAAACTTGAAGAACAGAATAAATACTTTAACTAGTGATCCAGTTTTTTCTTTTCCCTAAACCAATTACTCAAGACAAAAAATTTCTAAAAAAATATCTTTAATGAATTTTAAAAAGATTTAGAACTGTGGTAAATATCAAAATTGGTGTCAATTTTTCGCAGTGAAGAAACTTGTTTTACTGGACTATTATTCTAAGTAGGATACCATTTCGTTAAATAGGATATTAAAGCCTTAATAGGAAATTTTAATGCCCGAGCCGGATGATAGAAAGGTCTCCATGCTTTCTAATGAGGCACCATGAGGTCACTGAAAGGGTTCAAAGAGGTCAACACCCCATGACCCGACATGAAGTCTTAGCAAACCTCAAGAATACTCAAACATCTTATATTTATATTGATATTTGCTTTGAGAAGTACGTAAGTAAGTAAGAGTTTGATTAAATATCAATGTATTTATTTTAAGAGAAGTTTTGAAAAATCCTGCAGTAATGTATTTTATTGTTGTCCAACCAGAAAACGAAATTAACCATTCCCGGAAGTAGAGAGAAATTTATATAGGAATGATAGCAGATCTCAAAAAAGGTCTTAAAAAGAATGGGACAGTTTTCAGCAGAAAATAAGGAAATCCAATTTTTATTTTTATTTTATTTTAAAGTGTCATGTTTTCTGTCGAATGGGAAGCGATAAAAAAAAAAAATATTTAATTTACGTGATTAACAATTACTATAATGTAAAGTAGACAGAATTTACTTCAAATTAAGGTAGAGTTTGTCTTTGTCATAACCATGTAGAGAATTTTTGTGCGGTTAAACTAAGCAAAATTCTTTTTATAAAAAAAAAAAAAAAATCAAAAATGTTTTTTTTAGTTATCTGTACTACAGATACCTCACTTTTAGAAAAACTTTCTCGTTTAATAAGCTTTAAGTACATATTAAGTTGAAATTTATTAGGCGAAAACGTGAGAGGTCAGACTAAAATTGTGAAAAAAAAAATGTGATTTTTTAATCCTGTCACCTAAAAGTACCCGTGTTTTCAGCAAAAATTATTGCAATAACTGTTACAAAGCTTTTAATTCTAGTTTTTCCATGATCTGGGATGTATTATAATACAAATAATTGCCTAAATACACTTTTTATTTATAAAAAAAATAATGATTTTTCGATTATTCATCATCTAAAACAAACATGAAAATGTGGTTTTCTTTCAATCAGATCTTTTTAATAGGAATTAACCCGTATTTATAAGTGACAAACTTAATGTTGCTAGTATTACAGTTAACGTTAAAAAAAAAAAAAAAAAAAAAAAAAACCTGCTGGTTACTTTTATCATTTTTATGAATAAATAAATTTTAGGACTAGCAACATTAACTTTTTTACTTATAAATACGGATCAATTCTTATAAACGAGATCTGGAAGAAAAGTAAAGTTTTGCAGTTAATTTACATAAAAAATCATTATTTTTAATTTGTTTTATTTTATAAATAAAAAGTGAATTTAGGCAATTATTTGTATTATAATAACACTCCAGATCATTAAAATACTCATAATTGCTTAAAACACCGGTACTTTAAGGTGAAAGGATAAAAATCTTTTCTTTTTTTTTTTCACAACTTGAGGCGAATCTCAAAAGTTTTTTTCTAGTAAAGCTCAACTTAATTTATATATACTTAACTTAGTTTAGCCGCCCAAAAATCATCTTTAATTAGTCTTAACAATGACAAACTCTACTTTCGTTTGAAACAGATTTTGTCGAGTATACATTAAAGTAATTATTAATTACTTATAGAAATATCTCTTTAATTATCGCTTTTCATTGAACAAAAAGCATGACACTTAAAACAATATAAAAATTGGATTTCCTACTTTTCTGCTGAAAATTGGCTCATTGTTTTGTAGCTCTTAAGATCTGCTATGAATACAATAATTTTATTTTTTCTACTTACGGGACAATGTGTAATGATTATTAAACTAAGTTTATTTAACGAAATGTAAACTTTGTTTCATTATGAACTCTTATTGTCATAGGAAGATAAAGCTCCCACCTACTGAACTGCGTCATCATCAAGTTCCCAAGTTGGATCTGTCACTGGCAGAACTTTAGTAAGTCCTAAACAGACTTAACAGGCTCAGCGTTTCCAGATCGTATTGACGTAACCAAATGGGACTCGGTACAAATTAATTATTTCTTCCCACTTTTAATTGTATATTATTTTACAAGAAAAAGGTATTTTTATGAAGAAGGCATAGATAAAATGTCTCGTCACTGAATATGGCAAGTGAAAAACATGTCATAATATATATTTTTAGTAATAGAGGCGAGGAATGCTGGTAAAAAAATAAAAGAATAATTATTAAAAATATTAAGATTCCTAAAATAAATTTTCATAAACGACTGCTTCTTTTCCAATATTTATTTTTATTTTAACCATCAATAATCAATTAGTAATTATGAAATGCAGTTTATTTGCAAATAGATAAATATATGTCCTTCATGCCACATGAAAGAGATCATTTATACCTCAATGTACGTAACATAAAATATACCGCAAATGAAACCACAAAATTGTTTATGATTATAAGTATCGAATTTAGCATTATAACTAGATCATTTAAGAATTCACATAAACTGTGATTAATAGTTAGTTAATAATCTTATCAGAGCTGTTTAAAGATGGGAGAGAAGACTTAAGAGTCACATTACTACAACTAATATAGGAGAAAAGTAAGGATACTAGGGGCTTAAATTATGAGCCTAATCTGCTTTATCCTAAAGAAAGGCTCCATGTATCAGAGTAGTGATTACACAGGTATAACATTTCTTCCTGTTACCTACAAGATAATGGCCAATATCCTAGTAAATCGGATATATCCACATTAATAAAATATAATAGACAATTATACAAGACTGGATTCAGAAGAAGAAGGAGTACGGCAATCCAGAGCTCTTGTCCTACATCTAACAATGAACGCAAATAAAAGTACTCGAAAAACGACGTAAAGGAAGTATAGCTCAGGATGCGCACGCCTTATTTGTCGATTTCAAAGCAGCTCATGATTCTGTTGACAGAAACTATCTATGAAAAATCATGACTGAACTAAGGTTCCTAGGAAGTTTGGTTAGATTGACGATGTAGTCTAAATATTAAGTTTAATATAAGAAGAAATAACTGAATCTAAAAATCTACAAGATCAAGAATGTCAATAATATACTAATCTAAATAAAACGACGCAATTTTAGGAAGTGAATTAATCCCCAATTATAAAGAATTATTTTTGCGTTAGGTGAGGTCAGCAATAGTCCCTACTATGTTTAATTGTTTAAATAACAACTTGAATCAATTCTAAATGTTGGTTAGGTATTTGTCGTTGTCGAAGCCTTTACATGTAAAGAAAAGTTAAATTGAAGCACTTCTGCTATCGAAATTAAGTTTATATTTTAAAGCTCTCAGTCCGCTGGTGTTCCTCTAGGTAGTATTTGTAGGTCCTATCCTCTATACAGTTTATACAGCTGACATCCCTACCTATTCCAACACTCTTATCACCACATCTACCGATGACACATGTATCCTATCAGTAAATAATGAACCATCAATTGCATCCCAAATTGCTTCAATCACACATCATGAATTTTGAAGAATGGTGCTAAAACTGGAGAATTAAAATAAACTCCAATAAATCCTACCAAATTACCTTTACCCTTCGTCGTAAACCAATGACTTCCTGTCCTACAGTTCCCTTTAACAATACTCTACTTATACCTGTTGAGCAAATCCGCTTCCTAGGACTCCACCTGGACAAACGACTAACTTGTAATCCTCATACCAGACTGAAACGACAAGAAACCGCTCGACGTTTCCGATTACTTCAGCATTTACTAGACAAACGCTCTAAACTTCCAATTAATTACAAAAGACTCATAACATTCTTTAAGTCCAGCTACATAAAAAATGTACTTAGTAATGTTTGGCAATAAACCGACAATATGAAAAAAAAAATAAAATTAAATATACAAAAGTATTGTTTTGATTAGTACTGACGAAGACGAAAAATTTAGGTTGGAACGTTGGCACACATTACACATCATTATCCATACATGAGAATAATAAGGCCTATTTGGACTTACGGAGTTGAGCTTAGGGGTCCACTAAACCACCGAATTCCTCTCGTATCCAATCCTTACAATCCAAAATCCTTCGAAAAATCCTCCCTACGTTGTTACAAATAAAACCATCCATAATGACCTTAATGTTTCTTATGTTTCAGATCTGGCCCAATCCAGATACCTATCCTTCTATAATAAACTTCAGAATCATCCCAATCCTCTCGTTTCTAACCTTGCTTCCTCTTCAATTCCTGATAACCAGCCGAGGCGTCTGAAAAGAAGATTGCCCCGTGATCTAATGTAGACATATCATTGGAATGCTACCATTGGGTACTCAGCAAGTACACACTCAGCAAGTGTTTTCATGTCATTATATCCATATGTTCAAATTTACTAGATGTATTTATTTAATACAGTTGTAAATATTAAGAAATAATAATAAAAAAATATATTAAAGCTTTTCTTTCTAACCAATATCGTATTAATATATGTGATATGTAAATTAATATATATTTTTATAATTAATTAAGACAATTGCATGAGTTCGAAAAGGTCTGTAAAAGGTACGTGAACATGATTCTAAATAGCTGGGTACCTCCGGTATTCTTCGGGTTCAATTTTTGAGAGCGATTCAGAACTATAATCAAATCAGTAGGATGAGAACGGTTATAATTCGATGAAAGAGGTCTATATTGTTGTTTATTTAGATAAAGAAGTGGAAACCTGCTGGAATGATGATGATGAAAGATCAAAGGCAATCTTAGGACAAAGTGAAGGCTGGCAGAAGCAACAAGCCCCGGTTGGCACCGACCAATCAATACATATCTCTTTATCTGCCACTAGTTGCCGCCGTGCCTGGCACATCCCTCTTCCGAGGGGTCCTGGAGTGGTGGAGTCCTGGGGAATGGAGTTGCTGCTCGCTGCATTCCCCGTCATCGGGGAAACTCCCCCCGACCGTTAGAGTTCTGCTTTGTCCGCATGGCCATTGTGTTAACTGTCTCAGCCATGGTCTACTTTACAAACACCTTTACCAGCACAATTTGCCTTCAATGCCTCCATCATTTTGGCCAGCCGGCCTTTACGAAGAAAAAATATTACGTAGGCGATCCGATACTTCCTAGGTTAACGCACTGTTCACACACGGTTATATCATGAAACTAACATGTGTCTGCTACACGAATTAAAACACAACCAAGACATAAAAAAATATTTGAAAAGAAATTTATAATAATCATTGGCAGATTATAGGTGTAGTATGTTAAATAATGAATCCTAGGAGGGAATTGAATACGATTTTTTTTTACAACACATTCAAAATATAGACATTATGTTATATGAATAAAAATCTCCGTTCTTTCGTGGATTTCCTACGACACCAATAGACTGATTTATTAAAGATTTGATAACATAGACAAAAGTCATTTCAGGATGATGAAAATTACATCTCCATCTACTAATATCATTATTTTGAAATCAGTATTCAAATTAATTTCTCAACTTTCATCTTTTTTTTATTATGATTTTTCCACTTTATTACCATAGTATAATAATTTGTAGCATTTCTGCTCAACGAATCAAAGTATAATAATATCTTTCAATAAGACCACAAAGTTCTCGAAAGCAGATGTTATCTGTTGGATATTTCTATAAGATAAAATTTTTGTTAAAATAGAAATTTTTATTGAAGAGAATATTTTAACATAGAAGTAAAACAGTAAGTTTTTTAATCTTTGGTTTTATTTATATAATTAGTGATATAGCGCTTTTAATAAGTATTAATTATAATAAAAATTAGTGTTGTCCAAATGCGAGACTGAGACGAGTTTTGGTCTTGCGCAAGACTTTCGTAGACTCGCTTGCAGTTAACTATTAATTTGTTACTAGAGAGATATTACTGTAATTTTTTAGATATAAGAAACCTAACTAAGTCAGATGAAAAGTTATAAGAGTTAAAATGCAAAAGTATATTAGTTACACCAATTCTTTACATATAGTAACTATAATTGTCAAGTAATAGTAACAACTATTTTACTATTTAAAAAATCGATTTTTTTTACTAGTCTTGGTCTTGGTATTGCAACAGATAGATGTTCGTCTTGGTCTTGCAAAGTGCAAGAACAAGACCGATTTTGGACAACACTAATAAAAATAAACATTAAGAAAATGAAAATCTTTGTAAAAAGTGAAATACTCGAAAGATCTGTAATGGCAGACTAAAAAAACCGTTCGATTTTTAATAAATTTGATACACAGATAATTTTTAAATAAAAAAAATTTTATAAGCCTAACACATTCATTTTGTGGTAATTTTTTATTATATACCAATGTAAAAACTTTTCTCATTCGTCGACAGTGTTTATGAAGTCAAAATATTTTAACAATATATATTATAGTTCCTCATAATATGAAAAAATATGTATTGTATGTAATTATTTTAATAAAATTTAAATATAATTATTATTTTTTTCCTTGAGTAGAATGTACAGTTTATCGAACTATGATAACACTTAATCGCGGTCTTGTTGCTGACTGTTGTTTTTGTCAAGAAGTCCGATTAAACTTTATCTGATATCGTATACTTGGGCGATTTACAGACCATCTTTGGAGACTATAATATTTTGAATGTTCAACGTCGATAATGAATTAAGTCAATTTAATTTTGAGGCGAACGAAGACTTCTGAATCAATTTTAAATTGGCTTCAACTCTTCAAGCGGTAAGGTGAAAGGGAATCTCTGATTCTGACATTTTAAAATTAGTTTAGCTTCTTATGGAATGGAAGAAATCAATAAGCAATATTTAGAAGCAAGGCCATGTCGAGTGACTCCCACCTTTATTCTGGAGAAATCTTTTCCCTGTTCCAGCCTTTTCAACTTATTCTCTTATTTTTCAAACATATTATAAACGGAATGCGTAACAACAGAAACACAAAAATAAGCACTGAAGCAAGATTAAAACGAGAGTCTTATTAATAATAAATCTTCCTTATTAACAACTAACCTTTGTGTTAATCATTACTTTAAATCAGTGGATGAAAAAGTATTTTTTTTTTTTTTTTTTTTTTTACAGATGAGTTCAACTTTAACAGTTTGAAAACTTTTATTAATAAGAGGTTAAAGGTAATAGTATTTTCAAAACTTTTCAATAAAAGTTCTAGCTAAAAAAACTTATACTTTTTTAATACATATATAAATGTCATAAAAAATGGCATTTGTTGAACTTTTACTTCTTCTCTCTAAAATAAAAGTTATAAGTATAAAAAATTACAAATTATTATGAAATTCATAATTAATACACTGCTTAATATTCAGATTAGAAAACTAATAAATTCTGATGGCCCTGGAAAATATTTCAACGTTAACTTTGTTTGTAGAACATTATACAATGCAAAGTTTTATTTGTTAATCAGAATTGTTTTAGAAGAAAAACAAAAGCTAAATACTATCTTATTCATTACCTTTTACATATTTGCACTGCATAGAAAAATTATTATAATGTTTTATATAGCTATCTATGTACACGATTATATTTTCTGTTAAAAAAACGTAAAAATATATTACTTTTTTTATTAAAACCTATTCAAGTGTATGATTTATAAAAACTGATAAATGAAAACTTTTATTAATGATTCTTGAAATTAGGAAAATAACTGTTTTGAAATCACAATGTATCAATCAAAATAAAAGCTCAACAAAAACTTGTATACATCTACACACACAAGTAGAAGTTATTGCTTTAATTATAAGCGTTAACTGTTTCATTTCTAGATCTCTACTTTGAATATTCAATTTTCTTTTCTTATTCTTTTTTTTTTTTTTCCTAGATCCTCCTCCATCCTTGATAACCCTCCTAGGTGTCTGAAAAGAAGATGGCCTCGTGATCTCCTAATTTAGAAATTTATTACAGTGTTCTCTACAAGTTTAAATTCTCTACAAGCCTTGTCATGTCATATATTTATCTGTATCACATTTGCTGAATGTATATTAAATGTAAAGTTGTAAATTTCATAAATAATAATAATAATAATAAAGATAAAATAATTTTCTAGATGAGTCAAATAATTACCAAGTTAATTATAGAGACTATTCATTATTAGTAAGAAATTAAAAATCCTTATTTTACTGATGCGTAAATAAAATCAATAATTATGAGAATTTTTCATGGTTTATGAATATACATATTATTATTACTATATTTTTTTAGAAGTTATGAAAAAAAGACCTTGGTAACGCACGGTACGACACCAAGGTTAGGGAGTCGGAAGGACTCAATGTTCTTTGTAATTACTTCCGGAAGAAGAACACAGGGAAAATTACATCCGCTCAAGATTTTCGTTGATGCGTCCAGACATTTAGTAAACAACTTTCAATATAGGGCAATGTATTTAATTATTGTAATTTTTATTTTAAAGCCGTAATACGCCTCAGCCATTAACGCAATTATTTATTTGATTAGACAAGATAAAAAAAAAATTAATATGTAAATAATGATAAAATGAAGAATAATATAAAATAATAATATGGTTGTAGATTTTAATGGAATCTAATAAAAATCTGAAAGTTTTCTTTTTATAAATATAATTATGAATTAAAATTTACATTAATGCATTTATCATAATAAATTTTAAAAACATATATCAATATATAATTGATAAGGTTTAATTATTTACCGACATATGTTACTAATTAACAAAATTATAATAATAATTATTATAATTTAGCTGGATATAGATATATAGCTCAAATTTAATTATACAGTTTCGCAATAATAGCGGATCGATGGTTGACTGTAGTGAATAATTGAAGAGAAGTTGGTTTGGGTTGTTCAGTCAGAAATACAAAGTAAAAATTAAAAAATTATATTTATTTATGTCGTGATGTTGACATAAAAAACAAATACGTATATTTTAACAACAGATCTACAAAAAATAAAAAATAAAATAGAATTTGAACCCTAATGCAAACATTTAGCTGATGAATAAAATATAAATCTTGTGAAGTCATTATCTACACAGCCCTAATGGATATCGTCTCAAGGTTCGTACGAATTATTCACGTTAGATATCTATGAAAAATATGAAACAAACATTTGGGGAGTAAGGAGGAGAAAGATTACATGCTACATTTTCAGGAAGACTATAATTTTTATTAATGAATTCAAATATTTTTAAAAAATCGGTTACTGAAACTTAATTATTTTTAGTCGGCAAAAATTAAAATTATTTATATATTTTAATTTTTTTTTATTTTTCATCGCACCCTCGACTAATTCCTTCTCATATCTTAATTATTTTTAGAGTTATTTAATTCGGTATTTTGCAAATGCAGTTAACACACTCGAATTCTTTATATCCACTGAGTTATTCGTTTATATGTTGATATGTATCAACAGAGATATAAAAAAAACCTTGAAGAGGTCAAGAGATGTTAATGAATGTACATTGACATTGATCGAAGTAATGACTGTTTAATCATTATGATAACCAAATGAACTTGTAACAACGTAAGCGTCTGGTTAAAAAAAATAACACCATTACTTCAAGTTTTACGAGAACGGTGCTTAAAATGAATTAGTTAAGCATGGTAATGTTACAGGAACCTAATGTAATTTTCACCTATGTTTATCTTTAATGATCTTCATTTTCGAAAAATAATAAAAATATATACCAACATTTTTTAATTAAATGTCCACAACAGTAATATTTGTCATTTTTTAAACCAATTATTTGAATATTAAAAAGATATATTATCTTGTATTTTGTAAAAAAAAAAATAAATAAATAAGAAACATACAAGTATTTACTAATGATTATTAATAATAGGAACGTCAAGGCTTCATAAATCAAGTAAAATGTACATTAACTTATTTTAACAGTTTACAGGTCCTAATAAAATACTTGAGTTAATTTAATGAATAGTAAACTATGATTAAAAACATAATCCGACTATATTTATAATACCAT